TACAGTTAGGAATATATCTCTTTTTTTGAATGGAGTCTCTGTGAGGCAGACCTTGAAACTATGATTGCTGTGCTCAAATTGTTGCAGATGAGAACCTGTTTTCATTTCAAGTTGTCTATGTCAATGACAGTCGTTCCCGGAGTAAATTGTGAAAATGAGGGGCATAAGATTCTAACTTGTTGATCAAATAGGGCGATTGGGAATATATTGTGCAACATCCAATATCTGCTTTTAAATCATGCGAAATTCGATCATTATCACATCGAAAACAAGCGACACCATTGCCTACACTGATGTTAGAATTAAAACCAGATTCAATATCAGAGAAACAACGTAAAAGAAGATCAAGTCGAACAGGGGGATTGACATCAAGCAAGGATGCACAATGGGCGGATACACTCCTTTTCCGATCAGTTCCCGAAGATCGAAACAATATTTATGATTGGCAAATCACCATCAAACCAAGATTGCAAATTGATGATTATGAAGAAAGTCCAATGAGTCCTTTGAGTCCAATATTCACATCTTTCACCAATCCCTTTTCTCCTCGAGACCCAAGACCATCTTCACGAAATGGGAGACAGGATCAACAAACTCGACCACCTTTTCAATCATCCGGACAATACACTCAAACCTCAAGAGATCGTCCTTCCGCTATGATATCTCCATCTCCAAGTCTGCGTTCCCGGCGCTCAGACCTTTCATCTCAAGCAAGCTCATCTCATCCACCCATGGGTTTTACATCGGCTCATCCACAATACAATAATACAATTTTACCCACGGATCTACCCTCGCCAATTTCCGTTTCTGGTTATGATAATTTTATTGAAGGTTGGACTTCAGCTCAAGGAAGATCTTCTGCATTATCTCATCACACTAGAGGTAGCAACAGCATCGCATCTGCTATTGGGCCCCCACTTGCGTCACCGACTACAACGTCACCTGGTCCAAGAGAAACAATTCTAGATAGAGCGTTTCAAATGAGATGTATTCCAGGAAGTGAAAGATTGAGGGATGAAGAGGAAAAAGTTAGTAGTATTGCTAGATTTGAAGCATTGATGAGGGAGCATGATGAAAAGGCATTGCACAGATCGGCGACTTCAGCTACTGATAGTAAGGGAAGATACAAACCTGGTTGGGAACTTGAAGAGGAATCAGAGGAATCAGACAATGAGGACCCTGGTAATGTTTTAGAGCAACTGGATGGTCATGACATTCTTATGCCTACTCCAGCACAAAGAGCATTAGATTATATTGCTGGACGACAAACACCTTTACCTCGGGTATCCAGTTCTAGCTCAAGACCCATTTCACCAAATAGTCCCCCAGTACCATTTTTGAATCGGGATGCTATGAATGCCCTCCACAGTGGTTCAAGCTCTACCAACCAAAGTTTCTCTTCAGTTGGAAATGGTCTTCGCCCACGCACTGGTACAACGTCATCGCACATCCGAAAGAATAGTCGACCAACATCTCTGGCGTTACCTCCAAGATCTATCTCTTCGACAGTGGTATCTTCATCAAAAGATAGTGGAAGTGGCAACTCAGGTACAGCTCTTACCAAAGCCGAAATTGAAAAAAGAAGAAGCAGTACATCTACAAAACGTCTTTCATTCCAAGAATTCGCAAGAAGATTGAGTTCGACAAGCTCTCTTCTGTTGGTTCAAACAAATGCTAGTTCGAACTCTGGCAGAGGAGATAGCTTTAGGGAAAGAGATGACTCTAGAAGAGGTAGTGTAAGTGATTATGGTCTTGAAAGTGCACCGGAACTCGCAGAGGATAATGAGATGGAAGGAAGAAGAGGATTGAGGGGTAATAATGGATTAAGTTTGAGAGGTGGAGATGTCCAAGTCGCCGATAGGGAGATGAAGAGATGTGGTGGCGGCTTTAGAGGGATGGGTGTTCTCGGTGGTGAAGGAGGCTTTCTTTGACCCCGAGGCAACAAGAGAGACGGTGAAGTGCCAGAGGAAGATTGCATATTTGTTTTGAGCGTTCTTATTTTCGCTGTTCATTTCTTGTTTGTTTTTGTTGTTGTTTTGATCAAAGCGATGATACCTTAGATGATCTTTTCTTTTTTGCGCATATTTAAAGGGTTTGGACCGACCTGGTGCTTGGGCAACTCAGATGAGATGAGATGACTGAGATGAAGATCACGGAATGGCGTTCTTTGGCTTATTTAATTTTCATTCTTTCCCAGTCGACGGCTGACTGGGACTTCCTTAGTGGAGAGGATTCTATTCAATTGGATTGATAGATTGAATTGGTCTTTTGGCGGATTGGAGATGAAGGTGTAGGGTGCATTAGATATGCAAATTTTGACGTCGATGAGTCCAATTTCACTGAGAATGCTACGGCAGCACTATTAGTATGGCCTTTGATGTATTTATGTATGAATACCCGACAGATGGCCAGCGTTTTGCCATCGCAGAGGGAATAGGGATGGGGATTGTATGGATAGTTATCGAAAGGGGTGGACAGAAAACTGGATGGGATAAAATGAATAGGTGAAAGAGAGAGGGGAATGTGATAGATAATATAGGAAAAACATTGAATGAATATCAGGCTATTGAAGAATCACATACTCTTTTACTATTCTTACATCTCCCCTTCACTTGATTTCCATTTGATACAATCTTAACGTACCTGGGTCCTGGTATAATCCAAGGGCGTCATCCGGGGATGTACTTGAGTGGGGAGATGAAGGAAATGTCAGAGAATCTTGAGAATTTGGTATGGGTGATCCTCACTACGAAAGCGGGTTGAGAATGACGGATAAGCGAATATCCCAAGACTTCAGGGCGAAATAGCTAAGTGGCTTTTTACTTGTGCTGAAGAAGCTTATCGAGTGTTGAAAATAACATTCGGACGTTTATAGTTGGCGACTTTCAAGGAGACTACAGCTATGGAGTCTAGATAATATCTAGATCTATGTTTATTTATTGACTTACTTTGGTAGAAACAGGGAGAAAGTTGAGACGATGAGGTGAGAAGAAGTTTGATGAATGTCAGTTAAAAGCTTCACGTGCTTTTTGCTGCAGGTGTGAGGTGTTGCTTTCATTTGGGTATGAGATTGGTATGAGTGTGAATTCTGATTGCCATTGTGAGAGGAATTTGGTGATTGATAGATTGGATAATGAGTGGAGAGCGAAAGTTATAATTGGTCGGTGGGCATCTATGGATGAAGGTCTGCCGGGGTATTGACAGATATTGTGGAGCTTATGGGACCTCCGGATGGTGTAATGAATTGCAGATGGGAGAGGTGTGTTTTCATGCTTTTTTTGTTAGAAGTGGACTCTTAGATGGGTGGTGAGAGAGGGGAGGAGAGGAATGTGAGGTAATGAGGAGAGGGACAAATGATGGCTGCTAGAAGAAATCGCGATGGAAGATCCACGTCAAGTATACAATTTGAGGGGGTGCGTAGTTGTTTAAGAGCTAGGGCTCGCTGTATTCACTGCTGCTATTTCTCTCTTTATATGAGAACCACGAGTGTGATCATGCATCTTCCTCTGTGATTGGGTTGTTAAAATACACACAGGATGACAACATGGTGTTCCATGGCCACCTTGCAAGTGCTTTGCTCCTTTTGTTTCATGGTTTGAAACTCTCATACTTTGCCTCAGCCAGTTTCGTATCTATATGCTGGTATTTAGTATTTTTCTATTGTCGACCTTTTATTTTCGGGTTTGCAGATATCATCTCTTACTGCTGCTGCTGCTTCCCCTCTTTGTTGCCATTGCCTATCATAAGACTGACATTTACAGACTTGAGAAGATGGGGTTTTTTACTATTATTATTGTTCTATAAACTTGCCATAACTATATTACATTTTATTTTTTGATCGAACGCATAGCAGAGGACAGAATAGTTCGGGACACCTGGATATTTGGAAGAAAGAATAAGATCAATACGTCTTGGGTCAAACATGCAGAATTCCCTACCCTCACATGCCAGTCTATTGAGCGTTGTTAGGAGTATAACAGCCGTGATAGTGGGTCGGACAGGGAGTTTGGCTTTTCCATTTTGCAGATCATCGATATATTCCCCGGATTTCATGGGGGGAGTGCTACTTACCTGCATATTTTCCCGCATCACACACTCTCAGATCCTCAGTATGCTTCAATATCTTCTTATATCGACCACTAGCAGAGTCTCGAACAGCCCCAGACTCCATCAAGGTGGCCATAAGATTTACAATCTTGGGAAAGACCTCATTAATTGGTTCTCGGGTACAAACAATGAAAAGGTCTTGACTTTAAACATGTGCTTGTAATATTCTCGAGCAGATTAATGGCTTGTAGTCATCGCTGTAGCTCTCGCTGTGTGTTTTGTGTAAATTCTCTTCACGAGTTCTTGCTGCTATACTCTTGATGTTACCTTGATCATACAATAATAGAATAACGGAGAATCCCCTCTCTACGCCCTTGTTGAAAGTCTTGATGGTTCGCAAGCGCTGGCTACGGGAGTAGTATGTTTGATAGTTGTGATTGGGATGGATTTGAGATTGGAGGAGAAGCGATTCAATTGCTTTCAAGATACGACAAACAAGTCTACTAGACCTCAACCACTAACTTCTTCTATGATCCAAGTCATAGGGCGGAAGTAAAAGGTTCGTTGCGATTGGTCTTACTAACGCTTGAAGTGATTATTCATTTTCACATCACGTTGTAGTACCTAATCCAAGTCTGGCATGAACACAGTGACGGTAAACAGAAACTCCACTGAAAAAGTCACACATGGAGCCTCATTATATCACCTTAACCACGTCCAAAAGTCAACCAAAGACAGAGATGGTAGAATTCTCGTGATTTGTTCAATTACTAGCGTCGGTTGGTTATCACGTGAGCCGCTTCAAGAATTCCGCACATATTAAAACGAAATCTCGCGGCTCTCGATCTTCTTTCTTCCTTCCATAGACCAAGAATACCAACATGTAAGAACACCCCTTCTTTTCCATTGTTTTTAGTATTATTTTGGGGACTTTTTCTTTTGCGCCAAGCAGTTCATGTCGGAGGTCGAATACGCCTTTGTGTTCCTCGATGGATACCTTGGCCGCAAATAAGGTCGCAACTCAGTTGCGACGTTATCTTGATACGCTCGATCTTTGCTTTAAAGATAGCTGCACAGAATTTTTGGAAGACTTTGCTGACTCTTACTTTCTCAACAGTACACAATGTTTATCTCATAATAACTCTTGGTGTTGTTGGTACCTTGGCTCGGAACCGAATACCTTCTCACAGTATTCGGCCCTATCCTTCTCGATAACTCTTTTAACTTTCCTTTCAATGCAGTCTGCCAGTTGATGAAGATCATCTGGTCTTTTTTGGTTGGGAATTCCTCGAGTTGCTTCACCAACCGCTCTCTGTTGAGCAAAAAATCGGTCGCCTAATAAGCCCGAATAAAAAATTACCATTGCATTTGATGCTGTTTTATTCCCTCTGTCCTGGAGTCTCACCTGATATCTAAACAAGAAACCGATCTTTTGCGATTTGGGCGACTTCATATTTCACAGAGGCTCACTTTCTACTTTTGAAAATACTCGCTGGGCAATCAAATCTTTGGAGTGCTTTCATTTCCCTGCAGCAGTAATCGCAGTCAGGTGAATTAAGTCGAAGGATTCCTACTTTTCTATTGTTCTTCAGAACTGGAACTGTCCAACAAAAGGTCAAACTTGTGTGGTAATAATCTAACGTCACCAAACAATATCTACCCGCTGAGTTCAAAATGCGCCAAGGGCGAAGAATTCGAGGAATAGGGACCGCGCTCATGACAATTGCGCAGTTGTGGGACTCGCGAGTTGAGACATAAAGCTACGCATTCAGCACGCACAAGGGCTTCAAATATGGATTGTTTGAGTTTCGGTAAACAATAGTGCGAGCTCTTCTACGCTGGATTTGACAGCTGTCATGCCAATCAGGAGATGGCTCCGGGCCAGGGAATGGTATTGATGCACAACTGAATCCGAATGTGAAAGGTGAGCGCCAAAAGGAGGATTCAGTCAGACTGAATTGCGAAACAAAGTCTGATCATGGTTTGTAATTGTCAAGCTAACGTTTTGAAGATCGGAAATCAGAGCACAAAACAATCCGAACTAAGTACACGTTATACGACAACTTCTCTTCCGAGACTGACTCGACCATCCTCGACGCATAATCTTCTTTCGGGACAGCTGCGACTCCACAAAGAGATAGCCTGATATTTCTTTAACTGAGACGCCAAGCATAACACAGCTGATACTATCTGTTTCGCTGATGTATAAAAGTCAAAGTTCCATACTGTCATGAGTCTTATTGTGGAGGAATATCGACTACCAGGCCGGAAGACAACATCCACACACTCGTAGAGCGGATAGATTAGGTTTGGATTGTGCGTTCGAAAATACATTAAGGGATCAACTCCGACTACAGAGATTATTTTCCGTAGGGGGGAAGGAGGGTGGGAAATGGACTGGGGTGCACTCGCGGAGTTTCGCAGACAAGTTTTGGGGGAATTCGAAAACTTCCATGCAAAACTGTGTATCGTTTAGGTTGAAACCTTACGAACGAAGGAGTACAGTAAATTTAGCTGCGCTAGTAACAATAGCCCTGCAGAGAAAATGCCAATGATTAATTGCTAGTCCATTGTTTATAAATCTCAATGAGTATGCGTTAATTTGTGTGGATAATCGTCATTTTTAGGGCTGCTATCATGAGGCCACGAAGTTCGACGGGCGTCGGAGTGATGGGATGATTTCTGCCTATGTTGTGTGGTTGTTAGCGATGTTATTCCTTGATCACAGCACGATTCCGTTCTAAAGGTCCTACCTGTTGCGTTAGTATGGGGAGTTTGTTCTGAGGGCGCTATTGTAGATGCTCGCTGCGGTCATTGTCAGTACTTCACCATCGCATTCAATAAAAGTGTAGCTTTTTGTATGCGTCTTTTAGAACCCTCTTTGCGGTATCGATCGATCGTTTTCCTTGTGCTACTTCTATTCATTGCGATGGCAGTTATAGAATACGGTAGCCAGAAAGCAGTCCCAAGGAGCAAATTAAAAGCCACAAAGTTAAGGTGATGTCTTTCGAAAAACTTTTGCGCCAGATTCATCACTGCCATCTACTTGGAGTAGGCTGTGATACGAAAGGATCTAGATGGCCAAAATTTTATCGGGACATGGACTGCAGGGAGTTACAGAACGTTTAGAACATGCCAAATTTATAGTTTGTGATAGCGGAGAAAGCTATACAGTATCGGATGAGTATCAAATATTGATTTGGCAAGTGCTCTTGAGGTCGTATTCGTTCAAGCTTCGTAGATCATAATTTCTATGCGAATGGTATCGATCGATCTACCCAAAAACTTGAATCTGTTAAGGAACATGACTGCCATAAGACCTACTGTCCGCAACCGCCTATTATTACTTCTTGAAAATTATTGCAAATGCTCACCATTGCTCGTAGCGGCCAATCTTCACTTTAGTGTTGCTATGAATCACTCCCTAGGGCTGCGATGGTGACGTCACTAAAGTTTCGTGTATCAAAACCGACTGCTGATACTACGATTCCTGTTAGTCATGAAATAATCCAAGTAGCTGAGATAACACAATCCATGTCATATAATAGAATTATCCATCCAAATCTGCCAAAACTTTACTCAATTATCAAACAGTTACTTCTTATTCCGTGAATCCCGGGAAGTGGGGCCTGATTATAATTCGCTTAGGGCTGAAGCTAAAGGGGTCGCGCCTTCCCTTAATATTTAGGGTTCTAAAAGCATAGTCTTTAGTTTGAAAATTTGGGCTTGTTGATCAATAGACTATTCTGGAACTCTGAATTGCTGGAAATGTGTAGATTGTTAAGCACATTGCATTTTCTGGGTTGATCTGAGATATTAGATCTTCTTGGTACTTTGAGATAATCTGAGATATTGAATAAATCTGGTACTTTATGGCCAAATGATATACTTGCTATCATTTATACAATTAAATACCTCCAGTTAATTAGGTCCTCTGGTTGACTTTCTCTAGTTCATACACTTAAAGTATTTGGAGTGCTAAACTCATCTAAAATGACCAAATTACATAGTACATTGAACTGGTTTGAAACCTCAAGTTCAATCGAATCATCAAAACAAAATCAGCAAATCACAGTCTCGTTAGTACTACATTGAATCTAGACAATAGAAATCTAGCTCTCTCCCCGCCAGGAATGACAGGCGGAGGGATCCACTATACACTAAAATATAGTTTCGATTTACAACAGATCTTTCATTCAATACTAGTGTATTGTAAGGCTCAGTGGCTCAGTGGTACATAGAATAGCTTGATTTATCATGTCGTAATTGAAAAGAATAAGAGCTTTAGGGTGAGGACTACTTGTAGGGGAAAGTTTCCACCGCGCTGTATATAGGCTTACCTCCCCCGCCATCATTTCTTGTTTCCTTTTCCTCTTCATCGTCAAAACAGATCACAAATTAGAGTATACACACAGAAAGATACAGTTCTTGCTTCTTTAAATCACAAATCATCTCAAATTTGCCTCTTTTAACACTCGGGTATTTCGGTCTACCCACCATTTTCAATATTTCGTCTCAATACACACTGAGACAAGGAGAAAAGATGGCTTTCCTCCAACCGGGCTTTTGTCACTATGGCCCCTCGACCAGAGCTGTGGAGCTTTGCATCCCATCGTTCTGCGTTGCGGATGAAAAAGTCTGGCGTCCGGAGTTCGTCTCCGATTACTTTTCTACCAGAAGATTGGCGGTAACACGCTATATCAACTGGTTGATCAATGACGTGGCGGCCCGGGCAAGGCTGGAACACGCCGAGGAGGCTTCTCTTTTGGAGGCCCCTATGCAGGTGATCAAGTGGAGTGATCCTGCACCAATCGAGGAGTGGATTCGCGCCACAGCCTCTGTAAGACTGGCTGGGCAGACGGTCAGCCGGCACTCGGTATCGTTCCGTGGGGAAGTACCGGGAATCCTCAGACCAGGATTGAGGCAGGCAATCTTTTCTAAAAGTTGCCAGCGTGTTGTTCCAGTGGTCTTTGGCTCTTTGGAGGACGCTTCGGTGGCCTCCGCGGAAAGACAGAGTGGTCGTTGCAGCGGCGAACCACCATTTTCGAATGCACCGGATCCAAAATCTTTGGTCCGCCGCGGACTCCTCTTCTTTCCGGAGCTGGACGTCCGCTATATGTGGGGTGTCGAGTATAAACGAGCGAAGGCGCGATTCCTATTGGAAGTTTATGGAATCGACCTCTTGTGCGTTTAATGTGGGGCGTTGGTTTCGTGGGTTTGATCTTGTTGTGGGCGTTGGCTCTGTGGATGTTGGCTTTGTGGGTTTGGTCTTTTTTTCTTTTGCGGGGGTTGGCTTTGCGGGCTTGGTCTTTTTGCGGGGTTGGCTTTGTTTGGGATTTTTTTACTTTTCTGTCATCTAAAGATGACTTCAGCGGTTTGTGGGCGTTGACCTTGTGGGCTTTGGAATGGTGGGGATTGGCTTATGTGGGCGTCGGCTTTTCTGTCATCTTACGATGACTTCAGCGTTTGACATTAAAAAAAAAAAAAAAAAAAAAGTTTCATTTGGGGGTATAAGATATCATCCTACAGCGGGAGTTGGCTTGCTCCAGATACCTCCATTTGGAGATCCTCCTCGGAATTCCGTGGAGCTTCTGGGAGAAGCACATCAAGTGATGTTTAAAGCCCAATAAAAAAGATCATATTTTTTATGACAGAAATACGAAGGCCTGTGCTCTGATCGTTCTCCCTTTTGAAGATTACTCTCCTAACAATGGTCAAAATAGATATATTGGCCTCGCTTGATGGTACCATACCATCCGTACTTTTGTTGTACCACTGTCCTCGATGGCTTGATGTTGAATTCATTTATGCTCGTGCCGCACCGTAGACAAAGGTCATGTACTCCACATCAGTTTGTTGTTCCGATATCTGCTGATCAAGTAAATTGTCGACAGAGACCTTTAACGCGTCCTAAGATTACACTTCGGGGGGGGGGGAGGTATTTGAGTTTAGAGATACGTCTCATTCTCTGTCAGACACGTCCTGAGAATTATGATCGTCACGTGTTCCTGATCAAAGGTTTATGGTATTGGAAGAGAGGCGAGTCCCACTCCAATTGATTATGTACAAGAATAAAATGAAATCCTCATTTGTCCTCTTCTCGTCTCATCTCATCCCACTAGATATCTAGACATCTGACAGCGTGTTGATCTCGTCTCATTATTTTCGATTCTTCTGGAGCTTCTGTCTAACAATCGATGACCATGATCAACATAGTCAAGTATTTCTTCACCATGGTTCACGATGAGAGTCCAAGTGCTTGCTGAGATATATCTAGAGATGCAAAGGCTAATCACAATTCACCTAGACGAAGAATCTTTATCCAATGTTGTTTTCTTGGCCTGTGAAATAAATTCTGATATTAGCCTTTTTGGTACAGACAAGTAGATGTTCGGAAGATATAAACATGTTATGGGCTATTCAAGATCAATCATTATCACTCCGGTTGCGGTAACAATCATCATTAGCAGCTGTAGCCAATTTAAGTTTGGAATTTACTAACGACATTAGTTTTCTTAGTGCCAGGCTACTCAATAATGACTTGATGAAATCATAGATAATATCTGATGACAAGTGACTACTGTAAATGGTTGAGACTAATCGATTTTAGTCCATGAGTATGCCTTCTGCGCTAGCTAGAGAATTTATTTAAATACCTTTATGCCTCGCGGTTCTTCCCATTCTTCTCTTTTTTTCCCTCAGAACATCAATCCAAAGCTAAGTATTCCCATTCCATCATTCACTTCCTTATTCATTTCCTCACTTTCTTTTGGATTGTTTACTAAAATTATTCAGGGCACAGTGGGAACATTGGCAATCCTTAGTTCTAATGCTGCTTGACAGTGCTTGCACCTTGATTGCTCTCATGACCCATTGCTCTTCGAAAGCGGTCTCCTTGAAAGCAGCACAGGCATGAGAAATATTTTGTTCTTTTGGCCAGATGAGACCGATGGTCTTGTCTGAGAACATATGGGCACGTTGGCTTGTGGCATTTGGCATATGGTATTTGGTTTGTGGTATTTTGACTCATTTTACATGGGAAATGTGGTTTAGATGACTGCGAGGCAACTTGCATCGTCTTGTCATGCATTTCCACATTGATGGTCTAGAAGCTTGTGAGGAAACTCGCATCTTCTTTTATTTTTTCCTTTTGGGGTTTTCTTTACACATTGCACGTTGAACACTCTGTCGTTTAGAGGCTTGTGAGGCAACTCACATCTTGTGGATCATTTTTATAAATGGTATAGAGATTTGAATGGAAACTCTCATTCTCTTTGACTTAACGTCCATTCACATGGTTAATCGAGATATGTAAAAGCTTGAGAGGAAACTTTCATCTTTCGGTGAATCAGCACAAAGTATTCTGTGGTTTGGAAGTTTGAGGGGCAACCTTCATCTTCTATTTACATTCTTTAAGCAATCTGTGAGATAGAGGCTTGTGAGGCGACTTGCATCTTCTTGTGGCTTATTTCCTTTGGAGCTGCTACACATTCGCATTGAGCTTTTTGAACTGTAAATATTTGCAAATTGATGGTCGGCGAACCATCAATATGTTGGCTAAATGTGGGTTCTGGGGCCATTGGGATTGGGGTATCTTACTCCAACTTGAAGGCCTGCTAATCAGGAATATTGATCCGGTGGTTTTCAATAGAAAGACATGTCTCTATGTGTGTAGGGAAAGACTCCATAGCTGGTTATCATTCATCCGTGGTACGTTGTTACTTCGAATCGGCCAATATCTAGAAAATTCTGCTGATCTAGCGCGCCTCTCATCTTGCACTCGCACACTTTACGCAGATGCGGAGAACAACACAATTCATCGCCAAACAGCCTAGGAAGCTCATATCTAATGATTCAGGAAAAAATAAATCCTAGGTCCAACTACGTTCGATAGACGATTTGCTAGCTCGGAAAGATTAGGGGTAAACTTTATCTCGATATCGCCTTCGCCTGCGAGATAATACTCACAACCAGTCGTAGAGAAGTTTTCATGGGGCTATGCATGCAAGATTTTGTTTGAAGATAAAGGATTTGAAGTCGAATTATTGAGATGTTCGAGCAATCTTGACAAGTTAACAAGATCATCCAAAAGCCCTACCTGGGTGTTTCCAGTTTAACTTTGAAGCATTCACGAGTGGAAATCAATTTCTTGGTTTGCAAACAATTCACGCGTAGATTTATAAAGATAACATTCTAGTATTATTACTGGTGTACATATTAATGCATTACATCATCCCACCAACTTCCACCTTTCAAAAATCACAAAGATAAACAAATCTTCTACAAATAGTCCGTGGACCATTCATACAAAGTATATAATTTCTGAACCCTAACAAATAACGAATAAACAGCAGCGTTTATAGGGCCTCTCACAAACAACCCGCAACCCGAACCACTTGTGAATATTTGAAGAGTACAGATATTTAATATGCAGCCCGGCGAGCAAGAGTTGAATTGCTGGCAATAGTCGAGTTGGAGCTAGCTGTAATCTTGCAGTTTGCTGCGTAGTTTGGATTTGTAGAGTTGGACAAAGTGTAAGAGGAATCAATAGTGTAAACGTCGGTTCCACTAGTATAACCAGTGTTAACAGCATAAGTGATATCCCATGTGTCGGTATACATGGCACAAGCTTGGCCTTGAGCAACACCATTTAAGTAAAGGATATAAGTATTGATGAATTGACAAGTTTGTACGCTGCCAGTTGCAGGTGGATGAGCAACATTGAATGCAGTGGTGGCATCACAAGCTGCGGTGCAAAGGCTAACATCGAATGGTGTATCAGTGAAGAAACGAGATCCGAGGTAAGTATCAGCCTTGTTGCAATCCAATGGAGCATTGATAGAAGCTCCTGCAAGGGATGTAGGTGGATTATATCCGCCTGGTGTTGGGAATGAATTGACGTTGTAACCGTTTGATCCTGCAATGACAACACGGAATGTGCTGCGCCATTGACCATCATTGACTGCAGTTTTGGCATCAATTGCACCACCCCAGAAGACACATTTGACGTTGGTCATGGATGATGGGTTTGTGCAAGAAGCGCCTGGATCGACAGATGGGTCGCGTTCAAAGTAGATATTGAAGGCATTGCATCCAGCGATATCGGAACACTTGTTAGCACAAACATTGGTATCGTATGTAGGCAATTGTGTGAATCCCATGTACTTCAAAGCATTATTGGATGCTTTAAGGTTGACAAAAGATCTCGTAAAGCCAGATGGAGTTGCAGCACTATTGGCTGCATCAGCAAATGGCTGATAAGCTAAAAAAGAATCCGGATCATCCGCTGGGTTGGTTCCAGTATAGACGGTTGCTGGTTGGGTTGAGCAATCACCGTCTCTGGCCTCGAGTTGACCAGATTCCCGTTTTGTGGCCAAGGTGGTTTCTGTTGCCTTGACCGCTGAACTTGTAGTAACAGCAGCGGCGGCCGAGGAGGTAGCAGCAGTAGGATTATATGTGACAACCTCAGCAGTAATACCGACTGGTACACTTTGAACAGATTGTACAACAGGGTTAAGGGACTTGAAGTCAATCTTTTGAGGGTGAGGAGCGGCGTTGGCACCTGCAGCAGTCAATGCCACCAGGGCGAAATCCGTGAAACGCATTTTTAAGAAGAGGGATCTATTAAGATTTGAGAAAGGAGTATAAATATGAACTCAACGAGAGTGTTTCGAGAGTGTTTAAAGATTGTTAAGAATTGAATGGAAAGTTTCGAGAATGAAAGACTGAGCTGAGGATACTCTGGTAGATGACGGAAAAAGAAATTATATTGAAGGAAAATGACATATACTTATACACAATAAATCACAAGACTATCAACCATGTTCTCGAATCTGAACTGAAGTTCTCAAACTTGACTAAAATTTTAAAGATACCGATATCGAATTTTCCAGTAATTGGTGTCGAATATCCCGTTGCTTGACTTTTCATGGAATGCTTTGAGCTGCTTTGATAGAAAATGGAAGTTTCAAGTGCCTAAGAATTAGCTATAGCCATCCCCGAAACTATTTTAATACTAGTCCAAGTTTTTGCGCCGTCACTAAGCTAGAGTGCATGTTTCCGCTGAATGTTGTGAATGGTAGCAAACCGCCTTGTAAGGTAAGAACAACCTTATCAAACTCATAAACTCATTGACGCTCAGCCAGAATAGTGGGATGGTGGAGATAAGTACCATTTCTTCCTCTTTTTTAAGATTATGAGGGGACTGAGGGTATGTAATACGAGAAAAATTGATGAATTGCAGCAGAATATTGTTCTTAAATTAGTTTGATGTCAAAGAGCCATAGGGCCGAGCACAACATTTTGAGCCGCCACTTTCTCCACATACCAGATAGCCAAGATAGGAACAATACCGTGGCGTCGATCAGAAGGGTTTAAGCTTTAAACAATAATCAATGCACCGAGATCTTCAGTGCGATTATCTGGTTCTGAACAAACCAGTCACGAAATGTCGATCGCCGTTGGATCAACAGATATTCAACAAGGTGAGTTTAAATCAACCTTTGACGATGTCGGGAGATGCGATATCAAGATGTTCTTCTTGTTCAGCGTTGACAAACACTAAGTACCGAAAGTATGGCGCAATATCCCCTTCCTGTTCTTACTCGTACGACCAAAAAGTATGTAACCCCGAAGCTAGCAAGATGCCTATCCCACAACATGATAACCCGCAAGAGGACTAGCATAAATCTCTTAGTGGGGAAGTTCAATACTTCCCGACAGCACGAGTAACTTAATCCGATCTTTAATTTACCCAGAATCGGTATCTAGTCAAAGCAACTGGTCTGATCAAATTTCGGAAACAGGGTCCACATGTCAACAATGCAGAAATCTAAATCTGAGAGCTTGGCATTCTACTTCGGATCTAGGTGATAATTACAATGACTTGCTAGTTGAAGTGTTATCCAATCGCTAAACTTTCAAACTCGGCACATATCTGTACTCTGACACAACTAGACGATGATAATTGATGTACTTGTTATGTGTATGACTCTTCACTACTCTTCACTATGACAATTCGGGTGAAAACATTATGAGGAATGAGCTTGATAGAGAGGTAAAAATGAATCTCCAATCTTGATTCAGATACTTTATATTTCTTAAACTATCAGGGTTTTAGAGTTTCAACTCAAGCTGTGGCGACTACGAAAGCTCTAGCCCCGAAAATTCATTATCATTCTGGCGAGACAACAATTGCTTCGCATTCAACTTATCAATAATCTCGGTTTGAAATGCCTCCAAAAATGTCGGGGAATCAGTATGGCCTTTGTACACATCATCCAAGCAAGAAACGACTGGTTCCATATAAGTAGTTCCCATGTGATAAGGGATACTCTTCTTAGCAATACTCTTGAAATTTTCACTGACCTCTTCTTTATCAATAGTCGTGACATCAAGATCGAGACCCTTTACTGCAGAGTCAAAATGATCTTTTGCGATCCTCCATGTTGCAATCTCGAGGAGAACCACTCCCAGAGCATATATATCATGAATTTTGGTAAAAGTCATATGAGGGCGGTCAGGATGAAGGTAGAGAGCATCGCTATTAGTTGTTTGTTGATAGTGTGCATAAGTTTTCCCTTCTTCTGGACGTGAGTAACCAAAACCCACGAGGTATGGAGACCTGAGCATAAGACTTTTCTTTGATCGATGTCTGAAAAATACGACGGATCTACCATACACACTTTTATGAACCCATTCATCAGCATAAAATACCCCAATACTTTTCGTAATCATTTCGGCTACTTGGAATCGAGTTGCTACTGGAAATTGTTCACCTTGGTTCCTGCTAATATCCTCTTGTCTTAGTTATACTCTCATCATATTTTGTGGGTTTTTAATATACCCTGTGGTGGCAAAATTAATATTCCGGACGAAGATAAATTCAATATAAATCCCTATACAAATTTATATTTCGTACATTACGATATTGATATATATATATTCGTCAATGATGAATAAAGCTCTTTGTTATTGACGAATCAAATCGGTTCTTTTTGCGATCCGTTTATTATTGAATTTTAATAGAAAAAAAGAAAATAAGGGCTCTAAGAGGCCTTAGGAATTTCGAGATCTTCGAATATTAGAGTTGTAGATAAGGTGGACGGAAGGGAGCGAGCATACGAACTAGGGGGAGGTCAAAGAGGTGAATTAAAGCTAAAGGGGAGAGGGGGGAATGAGCGTAGGAGCTAGAAGATGGATGGAAAGCATTAGCCGAAAGTCTAAAGGGGAGTATCCCCATTGCTTGCCACTCACTTTCAATTTATTCTTCAATCAAAAGCTTTACCATTGCGCTACGCAATACAGAATGTACTGAATAAACAAGAGAACAATCTAATTTGAATATATATAGATATTTCGATCTGAAAATGATTGCCTTAGGCTAAAACTTAAAAGCTTTCCAAATTCAAGAATTTCATTAAGACCTTATTGATTAGAATAAATCTTGTAAGGTATAGAGATTTAGATTAATTATATTAATACTTTAAAAACGATTTATTCAATATATAATGAAGGTATTGTAGAATTTATGACAATTACGAAAGGATCACTTCGTCAACCACGGATTCTGCCACCACAGGGATAGAGAAAGATGGAGAGCTTCGATTTGCAAGTTTTTTAATACCACGTCAAGGCATACAATCCAACTGAAAACATATTTATTTATATTATGGCTATATGTGATTTCCCGTGAATGCTGGACATTTTACTTAGCATGGGCTATTGTTTACTGAAATGCATTAGTATTACAAAAGCTTCACATTATGTAAACAATGGATTAGCCGAATCTAAGCCGTAGACCTTGCCTAGATTGATCTTCTAGCTATATATTAATTCTTCCATCAAACAGTTTACAGCCAAAGGGCAAGCCTCATGTCCATGCACTAACCAAAAGAGTGCAACGTATTGCTACCTCTCCATTCGTACAGGAATCACGATCACTATTATGCTATTCAAAGCTGAGCATCCCAAGATGGATTGTGGTTAGCCATATTAGCCCTCAAGTTTTCTTGAAATCTCCTTGCTCTGCGTCTCCTCTCTCATCTGCACCGGCCCGTGTAAGTTGACATTCGATGTCTTGAACGCATTTATCGATTATACTTTGTATGGCACGCGTTCTAGTGGAGCTGAGGGAGGACTATCTGGGGTGACCTGAATAAGGGATGACCATTTAGTTGGACAGAAACTTTCAGATCTATTTGGGATGGCATTTTTTGTTTGGTATTGGGAGTCTTGATGTAGATGTTAGTTGGGCTATGGCTACCTTGTGGTTATCTGGAGGTTGCTGAATTTAAACCAGGAAGAGAAAGCTCAGTGGGAACGGGTCATTATATAAGATCGCAGGGAGAAACTATAGTCTTCGAACCATTCACAGATGTTGAAGTGTCTACTTGTAAATTGAATGAAATGTAATGATTACAGGCTGTGAATAACCTAGGATTCACATCTCCTGCCATTTCTCCTAATATGAATGGTTGGCGAACAGAGAATGCCAAAGTTGCAATGAAACAAACATTCGAGAATTCATTATGAATGTTGCCTTCTGAAGGTGAGCCATTCATGACTTGTAGGGGCACCACTTCGTGCCGGATAACTTCACAAAAATTTACGCAAGTCGAGGATGAAAGGCAACTATTATCGAATATGTTATGGTTAAACCGGGTTGTCGTTCTTCTATCTGAAATTCCTTTGGGTAGAAGATACATAACACTGGTCCTTTGTCAAGACGTCATTGCTTTAAGGTATGCCAGGCTATATCGGCTGTAATAAAGAACGGTGAACTACATAGTGAACTCCCGTGTGATGAAGGTAAATATTTCTTGATGCTTTCACTTGAAAGAGATTAAATGGAAAGTTCACGTCTTACTGATCTCAGCAATATCAAGACATCTCTGGCGAAAATACGCTCAAAATTGCAGCATAATCAAAGCGACCGCAATCCCATTACAATTAGGACCAATTTATGATGATTCAAAGATTGTGTCTCTGACAGAAACATGAGATATCTGACAACTCCTTCGAACTCAAAAACATGGCGAAGAGGTCGTCAAAACCCGACGTTCAACAAGAATTCTTACTGAAAAGTACGTTCCGCGGCCACTGTCCCGCCAACCAGGACCTACAAATTTCAACACGCTTCCACGTGAAGTTCAAATGACCATATTAGGCAAAGTCGTTGATGAAACTCCTAGACACCTGATATTGGATCAAGAACTTACGAAACTTCAACCTCGCCAGCATCTGCCACAATTTTGGACCCTTCTGAGGATCGATCGTACAAGTCGAGCTGTTGCTCTCTTGAATTACAGGCTCCTATTCGAAGGAGACTGCCCATTCAGACCCGAAAAGCATTATATGTATTTCAATCCTGATATTGTCACGCTTTGTATATTGGATTGGTCAATTCTCACGTCTTGTTGGCGTTGGGAGACCGATCTTGATCTCTCATCGATCAAACATGTTGAGTGCGAAACTAAAGACTATACATACGTCTTGAATTTGTTCGATCATTTAGATACAATAAAAGTTCATTGGCCTATCGCATACACCAATTTTGGAAACGCGTATCCGGGGCTAGAAGTCAAGATAAGAGATTTAAAGGATGATATTGAACAGTGGATCGAGGAATAGCATCCTGAAAGATGCAAACCTGAAGTTGAAGTAGTCTTTTCCGCGGAAAGAATCGCGTCGCATAAACGAAAGACTCCGGTACTTATGACCCCTTCAGATTCCGAGTATATGTATTAGACCTTATCGTCGGAGCTCCTTGGAGGCAACATCTGGCAATACTTGAACGGACGCAGATTTTGGGACTTCTTAAAGGCGCAAATTTAGGAAAATTGATAAGCATGTTTGACCATCTTCAGGAATCCCGTAGAATAATAGTATTTGATCTGTAATAATACTCCCGAATGTCGCACTTGGTGACCATAGATGATGTTTGCCGATTATGGCGCTTAGGCGCTAATTTACAGCACATGCGACGCGAGTTTAGCTTCTGATAACGATTACGCCCAGGTAACTTCATCGACCACATGAAATTCTAAACCACATTCTGCTCGAACTTCAGATGACCGGGGTGAAATGTTGCTAATCTCTGAAAGAATTGATACTTTTACTATTCGTTTCTTCGGACCCGCGACGCGATTGACCACGCACACGACGCGTAACAGGTACCCCAAGTCGTTACTTCTGAGCCCTTCGGAGACCATGTGTTGATACGTCATTCAAAGTAGATCAAGATTTGATATGTAACTGGGCATGTATTAACAATTGTTCCCTACACTTCTTTCTGCCAGTATGTTGAATACTCTCATCCCCCGCCTCAGACCTCTCTCTCCTTCAACTTTACATGCAAAGCTTTTGGTTCAAACACAAGGTACGCTCGCTGATCAGTCCAGTTCCAGTCATCCTTATCTACCAACTCCATTTCGAAATTCCATATCATTCTAGCTAGTGTTACTCGGGCTTGGGCCAGGAATGTTCTGGTATGGACGTGTTAGCATTGGTCATGAATTTCGAAGAGGCTGCCTGAACATACTTTCCTCCCATACAGTTTCTTGGACCAGCTGAAAAAGGCTTGAACACTTCTTTTTGATCCCTTCCAAATCGAACATCATATAGAGAGTGGCTTATCGGAAGAAAACGTTCTGGGTGAAATACTTTTGGTTCAAAGAAATTCAAGGGCGAAGTTTGAGCTGTCTGCATTGCTATGCCGATTACACTCTATGTTAATGTCAGTCACAGACAAGGCAAAAGTGGAAGATGACCTAGCTACTCCACCGGGTACCCATTGACCTGCGACGGCTGCACCTTCAGGAGGAACATTCCTAGGCAGATGAATTGGTGTCGGGTGATGAATTCTCAATGTCTCATTTATGACTGCCTCCAAATAAGGTAATTCTGATGTCGATTGAACAGTGATATTCTTTTCTTCCGAGTAATATGACTTTACTTCTTCAGTCAATCTCCTCATTGTTCGTGGATATCTCATCAAGAAATAACAAGCGGTAGCCAACGCAACAGTGGGCAACTGACATCCCGCTATCACAATAGCAAGACCATTGGTATTCAATTCCTTTCTCGTTATACCCTTTCCACCTTCTGCTTCAGTGACATTCCCAATAATGGGACTAACGAAATCAGATCTTTCGGCTCCCAGATCTCCCATCTCCAATCGATTGGTAATCCTATCCGATGCCAATTTCCAGTTTTGTGCTCTCATCTTTGCAGTTAATCGGAGGAATAACCAACCAAATACGACTTCGAGTGGATGAAATCTTTGGATGCTATTTCTTACGGATCCGAATTTGGCTCCCAAAAAGAATCCCAAAATCCACGAATGCTCATTATCTCCTTCAAGACCATGAAAAGATTCTCCGAACATGAGATCAGCATATATGTCCAGTGATAAATATCCAAAGAATTTTGCCAGATCTACTTCTCCATTAGGACATTTCATTGTTTCACGTCTCAATCTCTGAAGTAGCAGCGCTATGTATCCTTCAATAATCTTACTTTGCTCTCGAAGTGCTTTGTCAGAAAAAGCATTGGCAAAATTTCGTCGAATACGAACATGCGTATCACCAGTGGCTGTGAATAAAGACTCCGCGCCATTCATAGGAGGTGTCATGCTAAATGGATCTTTTGCCATTTGCGGTCTTCTGGTATACACATCTTTCCAGGCTTCAGGATAAATAGTAGTAAGTTCATCCGGAGCAATTCGAACCACTGGTCCATATTTCTTATGAAGTTCATCCAGATATTTGTAAGTGGTTCCAAGAATTACGTATCGTATCAGAGGTAATCTTGAGATCGCCAGACGTTTCGGACCTGGAAATTTGGATAATGGTGAGAAGTAAAGATTGTATATTGCAAAGACTAGATAATACTGGTATATGTTATTCTCATTGGCGTCGATCCAATTGTAGTGGGATACTTACAAAAATAAACAGGAATACTGCGAATACTGTTATTTCTTGACGACCCGGGAAAAAGCCGATCGACCACATGATCATGGATGAATCAAAAATTCAGATCATTGACTACAAAAGGAATTTTGGAAGCAACATTTACGAGAAAAAGATAGCAGCCTACGAGACTATCATCTAGTTCCAATGTCATCGAAATATGTTCAAGATCATCATTCTGACCATGAGGCCTATCCCGAGACAGTGGGGACAAATATTGTCAAGAGCGGAGAATCATGTCTTAACATAATGTGAGACTCTATTTGCCAAGTAAATCCGCGAATACCAACAGATGTAACCTCCCACACTGTTCAACCAAACGAGTAAGGAAGGTAGGTCAAGCTGATTTTGTGCTAGATGGTACTAACATGGCTATATGCTGTGTTTCCTGCCTTACCAAAAGTTATGCTCCTTCTAATTGAGGTTTGGTCTTCAAATTACTGTTATAGAAATGACTTTGCAAAAAGAGTTGTAGTAGTCTCTGATATGGTGCATCTTATTGTTGTTGAGTTACACAGAGTTACTCAATTACACGGTGTTGATTCTCGTGAACCATTTGATCGCTGAATCCGAGGATCGAGACCTTGATATGACGCAAACGTGTAAGGAATCTGCTTTTGTATACGAGATCTATGGAAATTGTTTCAACTTTCAAATATTGTCTTACAAGCTTAGGCATTCTATTCATGGACCTGTCTTCTGTCTTGGTATTCGAGATGAATCCACAATACAATTTGTTAAGACCAACTTTCCAATGTCTCTTCGTCAAGAAATGAGTTCTAGCGTCCGATTCGCTGAAAAAGGTCGAGAGAGCAGAAATGAAGCACCACCCTTAAGTAATGGTCGTTCAAGGTTGAGGATAACTTCAGAATCAACCTCGTATATTTGACATAGATATGGGATTGATCTGATGTAATTGGAGCTCTTGGAGTTTGTTTTCAGCATCAGGAGGTCAGACAATTCAAAAAAGAAAAAAAGGGAAGGAAAACAGCCTGCTATCATATATGACTGATCATGGGCCGTCTTGATGATATCATTACACAACTTCATCATTATACCAACGTTCAAATCTCTACCTGCAGTGTGAGTTACCTGAGCATGCAAACCAGCATCCACAATCGTCTCAAATCTAAACTGAGTTGATGCCACGTATGCACCTCAATCTAATAAACAGCCGAGACTGAAATGAATACATTATGCCGACGTTATCTGTAATATCAATATGCATCATAATTGTTGCAGTTATTTTTACAATAACATGCATAGTATTCTACAGTATGTCTCTTATCAATTATTACTAGAAGACTTACTAATCAAACTTGAAGTCAATAGAGAAGACGTCAGCTCTTTCTTATGTTATTATGGTAAACAATTTCGACTTCGGCATATTACACCACGATCGCAAATCGCTTGCGTTTTACCAGATACCCGACCAGTAAGAACAATAGAGAAAATAGATACTCATCATCATATGATCCCACCTGTCTATCTTGACCGTATGTACATTCCATTTAACCTTCATCGGTCTCCCCGAGCTTCTCATAATGAGTATTTCTCGGCATCAATCTGCTATAAAATCCTGATAACTTCACCAGATATCAAAGAAAACTCCAAAGAATCTAGTGATTTAATTTTTCCAACATGGTCTCCACAAATCTCTCTTGATTTTATGGCAAAAAATTCTATCTCGACCTCCATCCTATCATTTGCTCATACCGCTCTTGATGATTCGTCCCTCTGTCAGGGCATCAATATTTACGCCCATAACTTACGTCTTCAATATCCCACCAAGTTCGGCTTCTTTGCCACCATTCCAATCATAACTGTAGCTTCCCTACCAGAAGTACTTGCTAGCATCAAGTTTTGTTATGAAAAGCTCAATCCAGAAGGTTTCACACTTTTGACTAGCTATGATGGGAAATATCTTGGACACGAGCTATTTCGACCCGTTTGGGAAGAATTAAATAAAATTAGCGCGGTGGTATTCATCCATCCCATTGCTAATTCACTCTCTCCACAATCACTCGACAATAGTTCTTTAATCCCTCCTATTGTCGACTTTACACATGAGATGACACGCACAGCTTGTTCTCTCATCTACTCCAATACACTATCTTCATATCCAAAACTTAAGATCATTCTTTCGCACGCAGGAGGTGCTCTTCCTTATATTAGTTCCTCGGTTGCAAATCTAACTTTTGATGCTTGTCTCAGTGTTAAAACACCCGAGCAATTCATGAGGGAAGCGAGAAGCTTTTATACTGACTTAGCAGCGAGCAGTTATAGTGGACCAGTGGGGTATATTGAAAGATGGTTGGGGCCTGGAAGAACTACTTACGGCAGTGATTTCCCGTCCCCAATAGAGAGTACCATGATGAAAGAATCGGAGTTCTTGGATGATTGGATACACAAGAATGGAGATGAAGGAAAGGCTGTTTTGAGAGAAACTGCATTGGAATTATTCCCGAAATTGAAGGCTCAAATTGAGCAGACTCAGATTACTGAGGAGAAATCTGGGATTGAAAACCTAAATGCAAGCAGCGGAGGAAGTGATATTGCTTTCACTAATGCTGTTTGATGAGCAGATATTGGGACTGAAATTGTGTATCCTAGTTGAATGAATCGCTGACTTTATCGGTGCAAGTGTTGCTCATTTTGTAGTCCTTCATTTTCGAGTTTGCTTGTTGATGCTTTAACTTAGTCGATTATCTTGTTACTCATGACGACGTAGTTCTGAACTACCAAGAGTCTTGAGCATGAAGAGCAATAAGTGGTTTGGAGGCTTACGCTCATCCATATCACTAGAAACAATCAGTTGGATCTTTGTTATTAAGGGTATGCACACACTACTAGCCGTTCGAGAATCAAAATCGTACTTGATGTTGGCTTTGAATCATTTTAGGAGAAATCCACGTATTTAGGCCCTCTATCACTTCATTTCTTGTGTAACTAAATGCCAAATCTAAACTCCACCCTTTCTTTGGTCTTCCAAAGGTTTGTAAGATCAAATTCTCGTACTAGATGTTACATCGTCACATGTTTTAAACATTCCACCAAAATGCTCTAAATCCACTTCTCGACCTCAGATATGAGACTATGACTCTCCGAATAGCTGTGTATGTATTGTGCTTAGAGCCAACCTTTGAGTAACGTCGTCGCGTAACTCAAATGTTGATTCAAAATATTTGCAGTATAGGTCGAAACATATGCTCAGTACAACAGTTCATCGTGCAGAGAGAAATAAGCGGGAAGCTAATGAATAGTTAGATAGCAGTTGACCCCGATTCCATACCATGTTTTCATCCAAATTTCAACCTTAATAGCTTCCGGGTGGCCTGAAGATCCATGTTAAACGAGATTTGCCGTATCTTCCACAAGGCTACAAACAAACACCTGAATAGTAAATATGAAACTTATGCACAGATTCGATCGCGCGTATTGACTTCCCGCTGCAAATGTGTAAGTCGCACATAGGAAATTCTACAGTGAAGGACGTGGCGCTGCTGAAAAACTTGACGTGTCTTGATTCCATTGTATCGGTAAAAGGCGCGAAGTCCTACATTACTTGACGAATTGTCAGAGCGATGCGGAGATTAGGAATAGCTAGCAATGAGATCTCTTCCGGCATCCGGAAAACACTTGGAGTACTTGCAAGCTGTTTAGTAAGTAGTAGGTTACCGCCTTCATTCACCTTCTACAACATCTGCAGTAAAACACAAACCGAATTCAGACGATTGTCCAAAACATCAAGATATCTCAAATCTACAACCATGTGAGCTTCAAACATTTCATGCTACTTGGGCTAATTGGAATTTGATGATTGGTAATGTTTGAAGTCTGCCAGGGAGAAATCGAGATAAGCCTTGATGTACCCTTTAATTCACGGAAAGATGCGGCTCCGGCAATAAATTTTGCCGCTAAGCCCTAGATACAACTTATCAGAGCATCTAAGCTCAATTTAAGTGGAGTTTTCGAAGAGAAATTCCAAATAGAAACTAAAGTTGAGCAAATAAGTGAACAAATGCTCTGCTGGTGGTCGTTCTAACCTGAACTAGATGATCGGGTCTACTTTATTAGATCGAAATAAAATTTTGATGTAGTTCTTCCATTCAAGCCAAACGCGTTTATCGGCACGAACTCCCCTTCCAGATCCAGATTTTCTGGCTAATTCAAACTCGGAGCGTTTCCTTGGTGTAACTTACCAAATATAACATATTCAGTGCCTTTGTTGAACATCGAAAGAATCTAATCTCATTGCAATACTTGCTCCATACACATAGGACCGTCTTGGCAATTCGAAAGTAGCAACAGATAGGTCTGAATCCAATAGGAAGTCAAAGTCTGGTCGAGATGCAAGATGTGTTGTGTTCAATTTTCAAAATTACAGGTATCATCATCCGAAAGTGAGTGAATCCACGAGGAGAAACTCGAATTGAGAAGCTCGTGCAAGCTGATAAGAAACGAAAAATGTAATCTGGGCGTCATAATATACTCATCTAAATTCCAAGGGTGGACAAAGAGGGAACCAGCGGAAATTAATCAGTGTTAGATGATCGGAATGAAGACCAGATTCATTGAACAACGTGGCTGTCAGAATGAAACAATGAGGGAAGGTCTTCCATTAATGGATACATCAGCGTAGCGGGCAACGATAACTTCCAAATTTGAAGCTATATGACTAACCATGTGAACCATGTGTAAATGGGTTAAAGCAAACATAATTCCAGTTCATTGATCCCTTCATTTAGCTCTTATTGGAGTTCCTAGTTTCAACACGATATACATTGTACATCATGCGTTCGACAATTTACGAGATGCCATCTGTGGCTATATTCTGCCCTCAAAGCAAAGCTCCACAGAAAATTTACCTCGATCGACTACACTCTTTTCTTTGCCAAAACTCATTCTTGAAGCCTTTTGTTCAAGACATTCAAGATCTTCCTCAGACTTGGAAAACTTTCGCAAATCATAGGGAAGACATTGCTGCTCTCAGACAAGGGCCAAGATACATGAAAAATTTGTCTGACTGGATTACAACTGGTAAATCCGAACCCATTGCAAATGTAATGTCCGGCATACTATCATTACCTCTCCTAGTCATAATTCAAATTGGACAATACTTTCAATTTCTCGAATTGAATGGGATGCGGCATTCTGAATTTCTCACTCAACTTCGAAACGGGGGAGGAGTTCAAGGATATTGTGGTGGCCTATTACCAGCTATGGCAATTGCTTGTTCAAAAGATGAAACAGAATTGGCAAAATATGCATCTGTAGTTATGCGTATTGCCCTTGGAATAGGGGCATATGGAGAGTTGGGTGATGACGAAAATATACCAGGACCAACAACAATTGTCATACGATTGAAACTCATAGGACAAGGGGAAGAGATTGTGTCAAAATTCCCAGGCGTAAGTCGCTCCCGTCTTCATATTGATCCCACAAACATATAGATAGAAGGACCGAGTTTTGACCACATTCAATACTTTAGGCACACATTTCTGCTGTCACTGACCCCAAAACTATTAGCATAGTAGGATCAGTGCCAGTCCTTGCCAAAGTACAAGCATATGCTCGGGAGCAAGGTCTACTTGTACAAGAAATGCATCTTCGAGGAAAGGTACACAATCCTGAGAATGCAGATCTCTCATTAGAGCTGTGCGGTCTATGCGACAGAGTAGATTTCTTGCAACTGCCATCGGTATCCACTCTACAGGCACCAATGAGATCAAATAAGACGGGAAAACTGCTCGAACATGAATCTCTCAGCCATGAGGCTGTACAAACAATCTTAGCATCAAGGTGTGAATGGTATACTCTTCTCACAGAGTTAGCAGAGGATCTTGAGAAGCGTGGAAGGAAATCACATGTGTTCGCAACGTTTGGCATTGGCGATTGTGTTCCGTTGACGCCGTTCCATAAAAAGCAATTGCGCATAACAAAGCTCGATATCCTCAGCTCAATCAACAGAGCGGTGCCTTCGGCACCCAAGCTACGGGAAGAAACGCAGTATTCATTCCACGGTGATGCCGTGGCTGTGATTGGTGTTTCGTGTCGTCTACCTGGCGCAAATAATTTGGAAGAACTTTGGGACCTCATATCCAAAGGAACCTCAGTTGCGAAAGAAGTTCCTAGCGATCGCTTTGACTTACATCGTAGTTTCAGAGCTTCGCTAGATTGGAAGTTCGCCGGCAAAAGGAAGTTCTTTGGTAATTTTTTGGACAGCGTGGAAGGTTTTGATCATGCATTTTTCCGCACAAACCCAAGAGAAGCGGTAAATATGGACCCCCAGCAAAGAATCCTACTCGAGCTCGCATATGAAGCAATGGAGTCTAGTGGGTACCTAAGTTCGCATAAACGCGAGGATAATGATCCGATAGGGTGTTTCATAGGCGCTAGCTTTGTGGAATATCTTGATAACACAAACTCGAACGCAACAACTGCTTATACATCGACTGGAACCATCAGGGCTTTTCTTTGTGGTAAAATCAGTTACTACTTTGGATGGAGTGGTCCATCAGAAGTTATCGATACTGCATGTTCTTCTTCACTAGTAGCAATTCATCGAGCAGTTCGGGCTATACAAAGCGGAGAATGCCCAATGGCTTTGACTGGTGGGATCAATATTATGACTGGCATCAACAATTACTTAGATCTGGCAAAAGCTGGATTTCTGAGTCCTACAGGGCAATGTAAACCGTTTTGCAAGTCAGCTGATGGATATTGCAGGGCCGAAGGAGGCGGGCTGATTGTTTTAAAGTTATTGAAACAGGCGGTTGCAGACGGAGATCAAATTTTCAGTGTCATTCCTGGGGCTGCGACCAATCAAGGAGGTTTGTCATCTTCACTTACCATTCCTTCATCCCCGGCACAAATTCAGCTATACCAGAATATATTGAACAAAGCCAAAATGAAACCGGATCATTTGTCTTATGTCGAGGCTCATGGTACTGGGACCCAAGCTGGTGACCCACTCGAAGTAGCAAGCATTCGACAAGTATTTGGAGGATCCGAAAGAACCAATCCTCTATACTTGGGATCTATCAAGGGTAACATTGGACACTGCGAGACCGGAGCTGGAGTTGCTGGTTTAGTGAAACTAATCGCAATGATCAACAAGGGAATAATCCCACCTCTCGCAAGTCACAATAACCTTAATCCAAAAATTCCAGCTTTGGAGCCAGATCAAATGGCCATTACAACAAAACCTATACCGTGGAATGCTCCGTTTCGTGCAGCTTGCGTGAATAGTTATGGAGCTGCTGGAAGTAATGCTGCCATCTTGATATGTGAAGGTCCACGGCAATACGCAGAAGCACCAAAGAATCCACTTCAGATTAGCGCAAAGTATCCAGTTATTTTAAGTGCGTCTACAAAGGATAGCTTGTTGAAGTATACGAAGATTTTTCGAGACTATCTTGCATTTGCATCGCCGAAACTAAGTCTCGATGACTTGGCGTTTACATTGAGTGAACGAAGGCAACATCATAAATTTCGCTGGACTACGACAGTGTCTGATATTGACCGACTGATTCAACTATTGAGAGCGGATACTCAGTCGTGTTTTGAGATCCCACA